TCGCTAGTATATTTATAATTTAATTTAAGTAAATTCTATATAAGAGTAAGCTAGCACCTTATTTAATCGAGCGATATAAGCCTAATAATATTCTCTTATATAATATTATCTTACTAGTATCCTTAGTATCTTTAGTATTTTTAATATTACTAAGGCTTTTAAGACTTTTAAGCTTACTAATATACCTTATATAATATAAAAATCGGACTTACTTTTATTTTTATACGCTAGTACTAATTAGGCTTATAAGCACTACTAGCGCTAAAGGCGCCTAAGGCGCCTATATTACTAGTGAAAATTACTACTAATAGCTTTAAGAGTCGCTAGCTATTAAATTTATCGATATATAACTTAGATTAAAATAGCGAAAATAGCGTCTCTAGTAGCTAGCCGGCTATCAGATAGAGCTAGAATTTTTTACTAATATAAAATATAATAATAAAATATATTACTTTATTTTTATCTTCTCTTTTTACTTTAGTATTATTAGAGTAGTTATTATTATTTTCTATTAAAGTATTAGAATTATCTCTTTTATTACTTTTATTAAGTCTTTTAAATTAGTTTTAATTAAACTTCGAATCTGATTTATCCTTCTTAAAGTATATTATATATATCTTATAAGTACTTTTTTATAAGCTTAATATTTTTAGCTTTTAATTTTATAAAGTACTTTACTTTTAAAGCTACTTATTTTTAGTTAAAATAATAGTTATTATAGTAATCTATTTTTTATAAATAATATAACTTATATATCTTAGAAAAGCTTTAAATTTATTTTTAAATTTATTTCTTAAAAAGAACTTTATCTTTTAATCTTAGTAGTAAGTATTACTATTTATAATATATACTTAAGACTAATTCGGATTATTTTCGAAGTATCTTTTAAACTTAAATTTGAAATCTTATATAGTTTTTATACTTATAGCTACGCGAAGATTATTTATTAATATAAAGAATATTAGAATCAGCTTAAATAGAGTTATTGTAAATAAGAAATTTCTTAAAACTTCTTATATTAGCTTATTATATAACGTTTTATTATTTTATATACTAGTACTATTATTTTTAAATCTAATTAAATACTTTATAGCTCTCGTGCGAAGCTTTTTAATTATATTAAAGTTAATTTACTTTTTTAAAGTAACTTATTTTAAAATATGAAAAAAGTTATATTAAATTATTTACTTAAGTATTAATAAGTTTTCTTTTTTATCTTAAAGTATAAATAAAAATACTTTATATTATAATATAAACTTTACTAATAAAAATTAATAAAAATTAATAAAAATTAATAAAAATAAATAAAAATTAATAAAAATTAATAAAAATTAATAAAAATTAATAAAAATTAATAAAAATTAATAAAAATTAATAAAAATTAATAAAAATTAATAAAATTAATAAAGATATAAAGCTTTTTATTAAAATAATCTCTAGCTTTACTATATTAAAGCTCTTTAGTATATATCTTATTAAGACTTATAAGTAACTTAGCTTATTCTAAAGAAATTAGTTTTATAATATACTAACTTAACTAACTAGGTTTTAAATATAATTCGTTTTAATTAAGTATTTAAAAAGAAAATATCTTATCTTTTAAGTATATTATAAAAGCTAAAGTAAGATTTAATAAACTATTATCTCTCGGTTTTTATATTAAAAGCCGATTAATATATTATTTTTCTAGCCTTATTAGAAATAATTTCTCTTTTTTAATATTAATAAGTAAAAAGGCTTTATAAAGATTCTCGCCTTTTATAAAGAGTTTAATATATAAAAGTACTTAAAAGCCTAAATACTAAAATAGAACCTAGTTATTTAAGAGATTATTTATTCATATTTTTCCTTAGCTATTATAATACTTAATTTCTATATTTTTAAAAGCTATAATCTTTATAAATAAAGATAATATATTAAGCTAGTTTTAATAAAGTATTTATTATACTTAGCCTCTTTTTAGATTATAATTCTAAATCTTATTTAGAAAGAGTTTAAATAGTAAGTCTAGTAGTAGCTTAGTTTTTTATTTATTTAACTAAGTGTTCTCTTACGCTTAAACTACTATTACTAAAGTATTAGCGATATAAAGTTCTTTTTAATATTAAATATAAACTTAGTTTTTTTTTAAAAAAAATAGTCTTATAGTTCTTATTATTACTTATTTATTAACTTTTTAAAGTCTTTTACTATTTAATTTAGAAAATACTTTTAAGAGGCCTGAAATAATATCTTTTTTTTAATACTTTTTCTTATAAAATAATCTATAAATCCTTAAACTAAACTATTAATATTAGCTTTTAGAAAATATTTTAAAAGTATTTAAATACTAGTGTTCTATCTTATATTAAGGGTTTACTACTTTTAACTTTTACTTTAAGTTATTCTATAACTTAATTTATTAAAGTCGCTATAATATTAAAAGTAATTTATAAGTATTTTAAAGGTATTTTTTATATTTCGGAAATATCTAACTAAATAGCTTTAGAGATATCTTAATAATTATTATAAAGTAGCTATTATTTATTAGTAGTATATAAAACTTACTTTACTTATTAATAAGAGTTCGCTAGTTACTTTATAAGGCTTATTTTACTTATTTATAAAAGCTTACTAATATATATTTAATATTTTATTTTAAAAGTTAACTTTATTATATTTAACTTATTTACTTTATAATATAAAGTAACTACTAATTAGTATTAGTATTATACTAGTAAATAAATAATAAGTATATATTAATATGTATTAAAATTAAAGGTTTAATTTAAAGGTATTTAAAAGTATATATTATAAAAAGTATTTAAAAATTAAAATATATACTATCTCTTAAATAGCTCTTAGTTCGTATTTAAAGAGAGTTTATCCTTTAACTAGAATTACCTGTTCTCTCTGATTACCTCTTATATTTCTATAATATAAGTCTACGGACTAATAATTATACTATATAGTCTAGCGATTTAATCTACTAGACTCTTATTAACTAAATCTATATATTATAAGCGAGATCTAAGTCTAGCTATTAAAGCCTCTTCTATCTTTAATTAGTTTATATTACTAACGCTAGATATCTATACTCTAGCTAAGGTAACTTAAAATAAGAAAAATAATTTAGCTCTATTATTAACTCTTAATTAGTTCGATTTATCTTAATTTTCTATAAAAGTTATATTTCTACTTAAAGAGCTATTATTATAACTACCCTAAGTATTATATTAAGAACTTATAGTTTATATTATTAATTAGCTACTAAAATCATAAAAATCAATTAATATTTAATTAAGATATTATCAAGTAATAGTATAAGGTTTTTAAAGAGTAAGTTAATTATATAAATAACTCCTTTAGTATATAAGCTTAATAAAAGCTCTTTCTACTATTAGAATATAAAATAGCAACTTTTATATTATATACTAGTATATCTTATTCTATTATAAAATAATAACTATTATAATAAGTACTAAAATAACTCTTTTTAGCGTTTCACGCTATAAGTTAAATATATATATTTAAACTTAAGGATTTAATTAGTTCTTTTAAGAAGTCGCGTGTATTAAAAAATAAGAGCTATAAAAACAGTCTTTTTACTACTACTAGAAGTATACTAGTAGACTCGTTTAGCTTCTCTAAAGTAGCTCTTATTTGCTATTATAACATAATAATATTTTTAAAAGAGATATTAGCTCTTATAATACTAGCTAATAGTAAATAAGATACTAGTCTAAGTTAGAAGTATTTTTAATAACTAGTATAACACTTAATACTTAGATTATATAGCTAAGTTCTATGACCTAGTTAGACGTTTAGAGTTAATATAAGTATATTAAGTAATAATAAGCACTTATCTGCTTTTAGCTAGTCTCGCAATTATAACTAATAATAAAGCTAAGCGATTCTAGCTTTCAAATAATACTAAGCTAAGTATAGTCTTATAACTCTATATAAGTTATCTATTGTTATATATAAGTAAGTAGCACTAGTAAGGTAATAATAGTAAGAGTTGAAAAACAAAGACTTACTTAAGTAATAAGTATAAGTCGTTAGGATATTATTATATTATTACTAGTAGTATAATTTAAGCTTAATATAATATAATAGTATAGTTTAGCATTAGCTAGTATATAAGTGAAATAACTACAGATCAGGTAATAACCTCTCTATTAGTATAAATATTAAGCTAAAGAGCCTTTAATTTTATAAAAGGCACTTAAGCTTATATAGATAAATTCACTAGGCTATTCCTAATTAAGACTAATTATATTTAATATAAAGCTTAATATAAACTCCTATAGTAATATAAAGCTATTTCCTGTTATATATAATTAAGTAGATAACTATTAGTAAACCTCTTTAAAGGTAACCGAGCTCTACTAAGCTTTACTAAGCTTTACTAAGCTTTAGACTCTTTCTAATCGAGTATAATAAAGAAGTGGTTTATTACTACCTTTATATTATATAGCTAATAATATTTTTTTAGAAAGTTTACTAGTAAAAGAATTATAAGATATAATCTATCTTTTTATACTTTATAATAATAAGAATAGTCTTAGAGCTATATAATATAAAAAACTATTTTAAACTTTAAATAATACTTTTAAAAAGTATTAAAGGTAGTTCTTTTACTTAGAAGTACTTTTAATAAGGATAGTTATTAGATAATATCTTTAACTAAAGCTACTCTCATGTTAGGTTAGTCTATAAATAGAGATAGTCTTTTATTTTAGACTATCTAAAGAGTATTATTTTATTAAAACTATAGTAAGATAATTTAAATACTCTTACCTTTACTTTTAAAATAGTTATAAGATTAAGATCGGGTTTTATTATTATAAGATTAGTAAAATCAGCTTAAACGTCTTATATTATAATTATACTTATTTTAAGTAGGGTTCTAATAAAGAAAGATACGTTTGTTTATATCCTTTGTTTTAGTAGGGGCCCGCCAAGGCGCTAAAAGACGAGACTGCTACTCCAGGGGGTATATAAAAGGTATATATATTCTCAGGCATGCAATGATTTTATCACTGCCTTACTGACATCCCGACGTTGATTGTACGTAGTCTAAACGCAAGAGAATAAAGTTGAAGACATCAACTAACACATGACAGAGACAATGAGACACTTTCTAAAATTTACATGTGTATCTTAGAAGCTATCTCATGGACGGTTCATATGTGGCGGAATCACCCATTTTCAGCCTGCAAGCAGCAATCTGGGCCGTCTTGATGCCAGTCATCTCGAAAATTCGCTCCAGGCACTGCACAACCCAGTGTAATAATTCTGGTGCAGCTTCATTCATGGAGCCAACTATTTCCAATGGCCATAACCACCAATACGTCGCCCCAAGCCGGGGAACGTCCGTTTGATCGAAATTCACGTTTACAGCTGAAGGACGATAGCACATGGGAACCGTTGCACAAATATCTGCGACCAGCTTGTGCATCTCTAAAATTGGAGTTTTGTCGAGAGTGTCTTAGTACAAGACACTGCCATCCGCGGCTTGCAATGGTGGCAATCCTCTCATTATGCCGTCAAGAACAATCCGCGAGGCTCTCACCTTGTTCCAGACGTGCATTGTGAAGGTTGACAAGTAGATATCGCAGCGGGAATCCCACCAATGACTTGACTGGTGTTTATTTTGATGCTCCGAATAGGTCCAGCATGGTGAACTCGACTGTGCCCATTTACGGAGGTCTTTTTCAAGGGAACTCGCGTCCAACCGCAATTCTTCCTTGCTATATGGCTTGCTAATTCGTGCTTGGATCTCGCACAGGCGTACAAGCAACATATCCGCTTCGTCAGCCTTTCCAAATCGTGTTGGTACCGAACGGCAGTCGGGCAAGCTTTTAAATACTCCCGAGACAGACACTTTGGTCTGTAGGGCATTGACAATAATCTGACTACGAGTTTGTCGGAAAATGCGGGCGCCAAACTCAGTACGCAAATATTCCTCTCCTCGTTGCTCAAAGAGGCTTCCGAGACCATACAGATGTGCTCTCCATGCCTTCGGACAGGAAGCATCGTAGCATGCGAGTATTTCGAAGAAGCAGAGGAAAAGAATGGCAATGAAAGTGGTGTCCTGGCCAGCTGACCCGCCAGTCTGCCATTGTTGGGCCAGACCGAGTACTGCTACTCCGTACTTTTTCTGCGCCTCACGAAGAAAATATTGAGATCTTTTCAAGCGTGCAATGGCCATGGCCCCAGCGCATTGTACGCTGAGCTTCGCGCAATCATCTTTTAGCAAGTCATTGAAGCTTTGTGGAATCCAGAAGAGGTTGCTTCTCATTTCTACGGCGTCATTGCAGGTGAAATTATTTGCAAAGAAGTCGACCAAGCCGGTCTCCTCGCAAGTTCTAAGCGAACGGCTCACCGTAGACTCATCAGACAAACTGCAGCTGGTAGCTTTGCTTACACTGGTGGCGTTTAAGGCTTGTGATATAGAGTCATGTCTTGTGCGTGTGGGTGTGGACGCTGTGGTTGAACATGCGCACTTTCCTGAGCCTTAGCAATGACTTTTTGAGACTGATCTTGAAACATGAGCTCCGTCACATCACGATAACCTTCGCAATGTCGATTCGCTTTCTGGCATTGCTGACAAGTTGGCTGCCCACGATTGCACTGCAAAAGCCATGTTATCGCGTGTCTCTCTCTTGATAATTCCATGAGTCGCTGCTATAATGGACATACCTTGATCTTCCTCCGGATACAGGTCAGGCAGCCCTTACTCGGACCTCCGACATTAACCATACTGCTATTGATCCCAAGACTTGTTTTGCTGTTATCCCTTTTTAATTTGGGGAGCGAGCTGTCAAGAATTACTCAGAACATAGCATCGAATCCTTCCCAAATTCTACGTGAAGATAAGCCCGCCATTAGTGCTTACCTTCACGTAATTTATACACGCACGGTGTCCAACCCAAAGACCCAACTTGATTTGGGGGTCCAACTTCTTAGCTTTCAACAAGTCAAATAATTCAAACGAGAATCTGCATAAGTTAATTTGATTGTTTCCTTCCCCGAAAAGCTATTGGAGTTAGGAGGTTCTATTAATACACGACATGACTGGCAAAGTGCGTGGAGCGTCTCGACTGCACTGTGCTCTATTTGTACGAGGGCACCGGCAGGAGTGGATCCTGGACGATGTCAAGAGTGACAAGCTCTCGCCTTCTCGTGATCATGGTACAATCCATTGTGAATAAGTAGTTGATACTTTCCATTCAGACATCTTGCTAGTCGCTGAGCTTGCGACACAATCAACCTCGCGTACAGTACTGAGGCATGATAGGTGTACGTGAAAAGTAATGCCGTATGCCCTCCGGGGTTTTGTATACAGATAGCAACTGTATCCTGTCTGCAATGTATCTATATTTGCAATAATAATATAATACAGACAAAACTTGTATAAAACCTCTAGTAATTTTGTTGGAAAAATACAGATAATTAAGATTTTAGTAGCTCAGATCTTTGCATTGCCTTCTTGCTTTTTCATGTTTCACTTGAAATACTAACTACCTACCTTTTAAATTACTCGAAAGAGGGGGAAAAATAAGGAGGAAAATAGAAGGGAGCGAGAAAAGAAAAGAGGGGGAAAGAAAGGAGGAGGGGGCGGGGGAGGGGGGGGGCGGGGGGGCAGAGAGCTTACCTAGAGGGACAGAGAAGAGAAGGAAAAGGGAAGGAATGTAGCTTCATTAGTTATTAAATTCTAATAAATACAAATAACAGCTGTGCTTTGTTTAGGTTACAAATAATATCTAGACTTTTACTTTGATTCTTCAGATAATGATTAACGCCTGATACCCTAGGTAGAAAAAATACAGATAGTTGAGTAAATTAAAGGCAAAGACACGTTAAAAAGGCCTGTTTATAGATCGTATTTGTACAAACTATAGTCTGTGTCTATATAAAAACCTCATAGGATGTCTCGATCCGGTGTTTGCCTACCAAAACTGAGCCACAGTAGGTCAAACCTGTAGCACTAGTAAATCTGAGTGATCATTTGGCTATTTGTATCCAAAGCTGCGACCAGGGAGTTCAAATGGAAGGTCCCCTAGTACTAAAGCGTGGATTCAAGAGCGGCGAATGAAGGGCGGTAGCGAGTTAATTCACTCCAATGCACTCTCTGGATGGTACATGTCGTTAAAAAGAGAGTTCTGTTGTGCACATTTTAAGATGTGCCTTGGAAGAGACTGATACGGAAGTACGATTAAGAGAGAGAGCGAGCCATATTCTGCTAGATACACAATCTCTATCATCAAAAATATCTCGCATTTAAGAGGGCTTTGGGGTGCGATACTCCATGAGGCTAGCCATGCGATAGAAACCTGGTGATATTGCTCTGGCGGATTGATTAATAATAAAGATAGCCATTGATACGCTCTGTCCCTACTTACAAGTCCCCCTTGTTTTGCGCGGGCTGGTAGCGGGTTACTATGTCAGAGCTTTACGTACTGTGTTGGCCATAAGCTGGAGACGGACAAGCAACCTCTCCAAAACCGCTCCACCCCCCGCTTATGCAGAAGGAAGAAGATATCCATTCCAATAGCAAAAATCACTGGACGTAAACATCCTTCAACTTTTTCACCTATCACAGGCTAGAATTAGAACAGACCTCCAGTAGTGCGAGTGCAGCTGTGTCTTTTTACTGGCGCAGTCGTCAGCACTTCTTGGACGATAAATATCCACAGGTAGCACTCACCACGCACTCGAAATTCCAACTTATCCCTCTCCGTTTACATGACCTGCTACGTATAGTTGATCTTGAATCCATATCTTCGCAGATCAAGATGTGCTCCACCAATTTCGCTGCGTACATCGAAGCCTTACGAGCACATCCTTTGGCAGTGAAAGCAGCACCCATGCCGCCCTGTCCACTGGCTAATCAAGTAACGATTAAAACACATTCCATTGCTATCAATGGTGTCGATCGCATGATTCAGCAGACGGGCATGATAGTCCCAGAGAACGCCTACCTATTCATTCTTGGCAATGACATCGCTGGAGAAGTCGTCGCGGTTGGTAGCTCTGTTTCAAAGGTCAAGCCAGGAGATCGTGTTGTTGCTTATGTGGACAAGGGATACTTTCAATTATTTACCACAGTTGAATAGGCGCTCGTGGCTATCCTACCCACTATAGTAGCACGGGTCTCTATTCTTATGGAAATTTTCTTTATATATATAGAGAGATCTCTATAGAAAATCTTTCTATAAGAATAGAGACTTGTTACTTATAATTATAGAGAATATTTCTATAATTATAGATTTTATACTATATAAAATAAAATATAGAAATATCTATAATTCTATAAATATAGAAATCTTTTCTATTAAATTATTATTAAGCTTTTCTTTATATTTTTAGATATATATAGAATTTTTATATTTATAAATTCTTAGAACTCTTATTTTAGCTCTTATATTTATATACCTTATTCTATTAGTCCTTATTATTAAATAACTAATTATAATCTAATTAATCTTTAACTAAGTAAACTTCTTTTTATTCTTTATATATTTTTTTAACTTTAATAACTTACTTATTTCTTTTTTTCTTTACTAATTTATACTTCTTAACTTTCTTTTCTATATAATTAACTAATCTTATAATTATTTCTATTAGTAAAATAGTAATTTTATTTTCTATATTAGTATTATATCTTATTTTATAATATTTAAAGATATAATACTTTTTAATTAAACTAATAATATATAGTTGAATTAATACTATCAGTATAAGGTATTATTAAACCTTAGTAAATATTATTACTTAACTAAAGTAATAAATTACCCTCTCTACTAGTAATATTTAAGTCTACTAAATAAATATATTCTCTTGTTTATTAAAGAGTATATTAGTAGAGTTAAAAGTAGTTCTAATAGAAAGCTTATAGTATATATAGTATTTTTAGTAAAAGATAACATACTTAGTAGAAATTTCCTCTTTTAGAGCTTAAGAGTAAAGGCTTTAAATTACTTATAACTAAGTCGTTAGTATTTCCTTTTTTAAAAGTATAAATTTAAAGTATTAAGTTTATAGAATAGATATATTTAGTAAGTAAGAATAAATATCTTTATACTTAAAGTACTCTAGAAAGTAAAGAAGAGACTTTCTTTTAATTAGTATATTATTAAGATATTTTATTATAATAAGTTATTTAGTTAGGCTACTATTAATATTAGACTTTAACTTAACTAGCTATTTAATTATACTAATATATCACTTAATAAGAATAGCTTATTAAGTAATTATAAGTCTAAGTCTTCTAATATAGTTAGTTATATTATTATTAGTTAATAGCTAGAGATAGAATATAAAATATACTTAAGTAGAATAGAGTATAGAAATTAATAATATAGTTCTCTAGTCTTCCTTTCTTATTATTATAGTATAAGTCTTAATACTTAAATATAAAAGCCTTATAGTTCTATTATAACTATTATAGTTATAACTTAGAAATATCCTAACTCTATACTTAAATATAGATATTACTAAGTAGTTTTAAATTCTCTAAGTATAATATATATTCCTTACTTAAATATAATAGTATAATTATATAATTACGAATTAATTATACCTCTTATTTTATAGCCTTAAAACTTATATAGTATTTAGAGATATTATAAGGTCTTTATTTAAGTAGAATAGGAATTTAGTCACTTATTATTTTAAGTTATTCGCTAATATCCTTCTATTTATATATAAGAATAAGAAAAGTAATATTCTTAGTATCTTCTAGTAAAGTTCTAGTATATTTTATACTAGTAGTAATATAAGTAGTTATAGTATTTCGAATCTTCTTAGCTTTCTTTTTAATATCCTTATCCTTAGCTTCCCTTAGTATCTTAAAGAGTTACTTTATAATATTCTTAAGTACTATATATATTAAGTCTAAAGGAAAGCTATTATTAAAGTATAATATCTTAATTTTTAATAAGCTAAATATAGAAGTTATTTTATATTTTTTCCTTTTTTTATTCTTATAAATACTTTCTTTATACTTATCCTACGTAATAATAAGCTTTTAATTATTTCCTTAGGTCTTAGAGTTCTTTTATTTATCCTTACTAGTTAAAATATAATAAGTCTAAGAGCTAGGTCCTCTTTTTCTTAAAATATAATAATATAAGTAGAAATAATATAAATTACTTAGTTATTTTATTCTACTTATAAATACTAAAGCTCACTTATTAGTTAAGAATATAATAGGGAATATTTTAAGGATAAAAATCTTTATATTTATTAAATTCTAAGTATTAAGAATACCTTAACTTAAGTTATAGATCTTAGTATTAGCTGAACCTAAGAATAAGTTAAAGTTCTTATATAGTAAGAGACTAAGAATTAAGAAGAGTAAAAGCAGATTCTTATTTTTATATTATAGCTAAAGTAAGAGATTATAATTAACTAATATAATAAGATAAGACAAATAACGATTAGATATCTTTAGTATTTATTTACTATTAGCTAGAAAGCTTAATATAATATCTATTAAAGTAGTAATATATTAGAATTAAGCCTAGTATAAGAGAGGGTATATATATAATACGAAGAATCTTTTACTCTTTAACTCCTTATATTATTCTTTATTAAAAATATCTATACTATTAGTTTCTCCTCTTATTATTCACTTATTAAATATACTTTAATATATTAAGAATATAGACACTAAAGGTCCTTTATATTATAACTATAGTTACGTAGTTAATAGTATATATAAGAACTGTTTTTATAGTATACGCTTCCTTTTCTAGAGATAATATTAAGGCTTTATATAGTATAAGTATTCCTTTAAGTCCTTATACTTATCTTTAGTGTAGCTTATATAACTTAAATTATAATAGTTGTACTACTCTAGTTTAATTTTAGTATAAACTTAAAGCTTCTCTTTAAGTCTTTATATAAATAGAAATTTTATACTATAATATTTCCTAGTAAATATAACTAACTATTTTTTTTATTTAATAGTTATCTCCTTAATACTTTTAATTTAGTTAAGTATTTATAATATATCTATTCCCTTTATTAGTATATATATTTTTAATATAGAAATATACTAACTATTAGAGAGATTATAAGGAGTTTTATAGACTACTAGATTATCTTTAAGTTCTAGTCTACTAAGAGGTTTATTACTATTATTATTTTCGTTCTCTTTATTATCTTTATTATTTTCGTTATTATTATTATTATTATTATTATTACTAGTGTTAACTCCTAGATATATTTCTTATTTTTACTTTACGAATCTCCTTATTTTATTAATTCTATCAAGCTATAAGTCTCTCTTATCTTCGGGAATCTATCTTATTATATTATTTAATATCTATTAGAAATTAGTCCTTTTATTTATATAATAAGATAAGTTATCTTATATATTAAATATATATCTACGTTTCTTGTTTTTTATATAATACCTCTACTTAGTTATCTAAGATATAATAGTACTTAGAAAATATAAATAATAGTAGCAGATCTAATATTCCTAAGTATTAAATCTTATAACTACTTAATTCTTATTCTAGTAAGTAATAGCTATTATTCTCTGTTTAATACTACTTTTATACTTAATATAAAAGTACCTAGAGTAGTTAGACCGGTTTAATATCTTACTTATTTTACTTTATTAGTAATAATACTATAGTTCTAATAGTATTTAAGTTAAGGCACTTTATTTTATATTTAAGGATTAGAAGCTAGAACCTAATAGAGCTTAGATACTTATAGATATTACTAATAGCCCCGCTACTAAGACCACGGTATTAGAGAGGATTCTTTTTACTATACTAGTATACTCTAATTTAATATAAATTATTATTATTACTAGTAAGTTATAAGTAATTATACACTTAAGCCTGTTTTCTTAACCTAATATATAGTTCTTTCGACTTCCGAATACCTTTACTCTTATATAATAGCTTTCTCTATATATTACTACGCTATTATTAGTAAATAACTCTTCTTCCACTTTTTTTTTAAAAAATAGTCTTTTATTATACTAAAGGACTTAATAGTAAAACAGATTTAGTTAGTATCTTTATATAACTATTTTTTAGGAGCTCTTATAATAATACTTAGAATACTTTTTTATAAAATCTAGAGTACTCTTACCTTAATTTATTAGAGTAGTATATCTTTTAAGATTAATAGATTAGTATAATTTTTACTATTTCTAGAATTAATAACTAATATAAGATATTAGTATAAGTCTTCTTATTAATCTATCTAATATAAGAAAAGTTATTCTAGATAATAGCTACTATAGGCCCTTTAATATATTCTGATATATTAATATAAATAGAGTAGACTATATTCTTTTAGAAGAAGTTATATTTTATTAAGATATCTCTTAGTTTTTTTCTTATATTAGTAGTATTACCTAAGAGTAGTAAGTATAAGTTATTTAGTATATATTATAAGATTACTAACTAATAATATTATACTATCCTATCTTAGGTCTTAATCTAATAAAAGTATCTATTTTATTTAAAGTAGCTTTAATATATAAAGGACTTTTTAATAGAATAGTTATCTTCTTTTTCTTATTAAGAAAAAAGTCTGCGAGTTATAAAATACTTTTAATAGTTTATTTTATTTTACTAGTCTTAATATTAATAGCCTTTAGTAGCTTTATTATATAGACTTTATTAATATACTTCCTCTTACTTTTTACTTAGATTAACTTTAATATTAGTAGCTTCTACTACTTTTGCTATATTAATTAGTAGTTTTACTATATAAACTTTATTAATATACTTTCTCTTAACTTTTCACTTAGACTAACTTTAATATTAATAACTTCTACTACTTCTACTATATTAATTAGTAGCTTTATTATAGAGACTTTATTAATATACTTTCTCTTAACTTTTCACTTAGACTAACTTTAATATTAATAACTTCTACTACTTCTACTATATTAATTAGTAGCTTTATTATAGAGACTTTATTAATATACTTTCTCTTAACTTTTCGCTTAGACTAACTTTAATATTAATAGCTTCTAGTAGTTCTACTACTTAATTAATATAGTAGTATTATTTAATTATAAGGATCTTCTTACATTTAAGCGAGATATCTATATAAGGTATTTATACCCAAGCTTAGTAAG